AAACTAATTTATAATTAACTTAAATTAATTATAATTAATAATAATTAATTTAATATTAAAGATAATTAATTATAATTAACCTCAATTAATTATAATTAATTATACTATTATTAATTAATTAAAATTAATTATATTTTAATTTAAAATTGATCATAAATCAATTAGAATTTATAATTTATTATGCATTAATTATAATTAATTATAATCAAGTTATAACTAATTATTTTTAACTAAAAATAAATTATAAGTTATATTCTTTTTAATTTATAATTAATTATAGATTAATTATAATTAATTATATTTAAAATATAATTAATTATATTAGATCCTAAAATTAATTATAAATTAATTAGAGATAAATAGAATATAAGCATGATTAACAGAGAATTAAACTCTCTGTTAACAGAGAGTTTAATTCTCTGTTTTAAGGGATTTGACCGAAGAAGCACTCAAAGGGGAGAAAGCCACCTACACAGCCAGCGGTCTCCTATTCGCGCTTCCGATCAAAACCGATCCGACAGGAAGGGAATGGCGCCGGACTGAGCGAAGTCGGACAGCAGGATGGAGTCGGAGTCAAGAGCCCCCACCTCCTGTTTCCGATCAAAATACGTAACTTCCGATCGGACAAGGGAGACGGGCAGAGAGGAGGCTTCGACGGCTAGGTAGGAGAACTCTTTCTTCCTCTCTCTCTCTCTCTCTCTCTCTCTTTGCTTGGGATCGGCACGGACAGAGGGTCGGGAGAGAGGTTCGGTTGTGGGAGAGGAAGTGGAGCTCGGCTTTGGCGTCGGTACAGGGAGGTCGGTCGGGAGAGAGAGCAGCGGCTTGGTGGGGTTCGGCTGGCTCTGGTCGTGGAAACAGAGGGAGGATCGGGCTGTTGGAACGGAGGCAGTGAGGTGGAGTTACGGGAGGAGAGTCGTGTGTCGAGCAGCGAAGATGAAGAGCCTTCGGCTCCTATTTAACGACGCAAAATGAGTACTCCTCGACGGGATTTCTGCAGGAATCGCGGAGAATCGACTGGAGCGGCGCCGTTTGCAGCAGGATTTCAGCAGGATTTCAGGAGAATTTCACGGATCCGCCGGGTGCAAAGTTTGTACGCGAGATTTTTTTGTTTTATTATTCTGAGGTTAACAACTCTCAAAACATTAACATTTAAAATTAATTAGTTTAATATAAGAATTATGTATTTCTATTCCCCAAATAGTTCAAATAAGCATAATGATGATGATAGTGAACATTTGAGATCGGTGCTCCAAGTTTAATAGGAGACTAATGAGATGATTATTTGAAGAGAGAGAAAGAGGATGAAGGAGGATTGAGAATTAGAGAAGGCTTGTGCTGCAAATCAATATGTGGAGTCATGATTTTACTTTAGTTGATGTTTTGTTATTAGTTTCTTGGATTGTAAAATTTTAAGTTTAGTTTTAGTAGTTGAAAAACTATGATGATATACATATGAAAATAGATTATGCTCTAGCTACCTGTTTTTCAAATGTTCATTTGTTCACAACCTGATTATGAAGTTCTAGCTGTTTGGTAATGTTTAGAGGGAAGTGATAGGATGTATGGAAACAAGTTCTCTAGCATCTCCTTATATCATAAGATCAAGCATCAAATGAAATACACGCTCAATGTTTGGCATTGATATTTCACGTAACCCTTTCTAGACTTCTTTGATTGGCTATAGGTGGGAGATGATATTAGGATGAACGAAGTTACATATTTTGGTAGACGATAACACAACGGCTAAAGAAATAAAATAAATATATACAAGAGATGTGATAAAGGACAGATACATCATAAATATAATATTGAGCCAATAGTGTTAGTTCACGTATAAACTATAGGATATTATTAAATAAATAACAATCTAGGTGAAAGTGACATTATTTAGTACCTGTCAGCTTTCTCATATCTTCTCCACAATAACTTATGTATTTGCACTTATAGTTGCGTTTGAGTTGGATAGTATAAATTATAATATTGAAACCGATGTTAACATATGATTATTCACACTTATAAAAAAGGAATCTCATATAAAAGAGCAACCTAATATTATTGTTATATCTAAAAATAAAATTATTATCCACAAATATGATGTGTTGTCCTGAAATTTATTTGACCATGATAGCATGTATTAGATTCCACTTATAAGATCACAATATATTCAACCCTCCCATCAATGAAGACTAACTAGACGTACAAAAAAAAGGGTCTCTTCACCCTCAATTGCATCTCTTGATTTTCCCTCTTGCGCAACAACCTCTCCGTCTCTTCCCCTCATCACCAAACAACATATCGCCCTGGCCTCTCGCGTGAAGTCACTATGAATACTCAGCATTGACAAGACCAATCGCGCATGAAAGAGAAAAGAAGTTCAAGCAACTTTTCGTGAAGATAGAACATTCGGAGATACGCATGGATCTGCTTGGATGTAGGATTTGAGCAGGATTTAGGCTAAATCCCAACAAATAAAAAAAATGACAAGTTTAAATATTGCAGAATCTTAAATCACGTTACTTCTCCATTTTGGCTTAAATCCTGAATTTAATAAATCCCATGGTTTAGCGGGTTTACGGGATGTAGCTGAAGAAGCGCGTGAAAGGGGTAAAAGATCACTATATTGGCGACGAGCTCCCGTAATATAGCTTTTGCGCTAGGTTCTGATAACATTGTTAGATGGAGCTTCTAACAAAGTCTTTTTAGACCCATCTCTACATTTAACATCTTTTTAGGTCTATCTCTGCCTTTCTTAACATAGGTTGAACCGAATACATTTGCTTTTCTAATCGGGTCATTAGAAGGATGGCGTTTTATGAAATCAAACCATCTTAGGCGACTCTTTCTAATCTTATCTGTCACTAGAGCTATTGCAACCTTTTCACGTGTATACTTATTTCACATTGTCTCCAAAGCGTAAAACCACTCATCCACCTGAGCATCTGCATCTCCGCAACACTTAATTTTATGCTTCTCTTTTAATGGCCAACATTTTGAGCTATAGCATTGAAGGTCACACCACCATCTTATAAAATTTTCTCTCAAGTTTGAAAGGTATTTTTTTATTACACATCAGACTCGATGCATTCCTCTACTTCAACCATCCAACTTGAATTCTACTAATAATATTCCCAACTATTTCACCATCGATTTAAACAATAGACCCGAAATATCTAAAACATGCACTCCTTTAATGACTTGATCACCTACTGTCACAGTCCTACAACTAGATCTATTCTAACTAAAATTATACTCCAGGTATTCGGTTTTAGATCTACTCAAGCAAAGACCTTTAGACTAAGTTTGACCTCCAAAATTCAAATTTTGGTTCAACCCTCTCTCTCTCTAGTCTTATCACCAATAAGAATATCGGTAGCAAAAAGCATACAGCATGGTACATCCTCTTGCAAATGTCTTGTAAGAATATCCATAACTAAAGC